TGCTTTGAGAAAAACAGCTGGGCAAGCCTCCATTAATATCCGCGAAGCACAAATATTAAGGACCATGGATCTGGCTGTCAGATTGACAAACGAGTCTTCTCTTTTGAAAGGCACTTGGAAACTTGAGAGGAGCTGTCAAAAGCAGGTGGGGTGGAGGCACCCCACCCAATACTGGGTAGAGTGGGGTAGAGGGGGGTGCACTGTTTCTTGTTGTGAGCCACGGTGGGATTCCCTCCAAATATGGGAAATGTGAGCCACCTACGCCCACGGCAAAGGTTTAGGCATCCGCGGGAGCCAACTGGATCCATGCATCCTGCCAATGACTTAATTGGGGCCAGTAGGACCCAGGCATTTGTATTTGCCTTTTTTTTTTTTTTACAGTACTTTAATATAGTAATGAACGTGATCATAAAATGTACAATTAAAAATTGGTACTATGCCTTTTTTTGTTGTTAAAACATTTCTTACTACTGGCCAGAACAATGACTGAATTTTGAAGGCATTTTGGGTAGCATAAGTAAAATATTGCTTAGCATCTAGGAAAAGAAACACCCAAGTTGGTGGGCAGCTTTCCATGCAGGGCGGGGCGGGATGATGGGCATTCTCAGGGCAGTTTGAGCACAGCTCAAGGGAGGGGCCAACATGGAGCACAGATTGTAGAACTGGAGGCTTCTCATCCCAAAGGGCTGCAAACTGGTAGTGGAAGGGAGTTTTGGTGAGAATAGGAGACCCCTGGGCAGTGTTTTCTAACCCTGGGCCCCTCAGGGGTTTCTGAGAACCCTCAAATACAAACCCCAGGTCCTGTTTCCCAGAGAATTTTACTGAACCATAAGGCTGGTGGCCAACTGACCACCCAGGGTCTCCAGGTTGATTTCCAGGTCTACCAAGAAGCACAGGCAGGGGGACTGGATACATGCGTGAACACATGAATAGACACTTAGAAAAGAGGAATTGTCACCAGGTTCTTTGAGGAGCAGGTGGGAGATGATGAAAAGTCTTCTGATCTCCAATCATGACTGGAGCCCACCAGGAGTACCAATCACCTTAAACGGGGGCACAGAGTCTGGCTGTGATGTCAGCCCCGAGGACAGTTGGTGACATGCCTTACCACGTGAATGCCCCAGCTTTGCACTTTCACATATATTCACTTAATTCTCCCCAATTTCCAGAGCTCTGCCCTGGCCCTCTCCTCTGTGCCATCCACTCTCAAGTACCCAGATGGCTTCCAGATCTACAGCTCTAGCCTTGACCCCTTTCATGAGCTTTTGATTTGATTAGGGTCTTTAAGTATGCAGCCAGAAACGATACAGAGATCATCTATCACAGGCTGGCTTAACAGTCTCGGGGAGAAGGTGGAGGCCTCTCAGGGCAGATTTTAATGGGCATTTTGGCAGGGGTGGGTGGGGAGAGGCAGGGAGAGCATTAGAGTGCAGCTACTTGGGCACAGGGTGTAGATTTGAGCATTGGCGTGCACTCATTCTTTCAACAATCACATTTAGCCAGCTCATCTATGAGCCAGGCACTGGGGAGAGAGGATACCAAGATGCCCTCCTTGCTCTCAGGGCACTCCCTGGCCTGGGTGAAACCAGAGCTGATGGAGGCTGAAGAAGGCAGTTCCTAGGGGGCTGGTACAAGGATGCCATAGGGGAAGAGCAAGTCTCTGTCTCTCTTAAGAGTGTGACAAAATTACTGGAAAACCATCTTCATTCCGTGAGCACTCCAGGCCTGGAACCAGGTCTTGCTAATCTTCATTTTCCCACTGCAGTAAGTGCTTAATGAATATTTGTTGAAGGAATAAATGCATGTACAATGTGTTCTACAGAACAAGTAAAACTGCTCTGTGGGGACTGGCAGGGTAGATGGGAAGGGCTTCTTCAGCATATGAAAACAGAAATAGGCCCTTGCCAGGCAGATAAGACATGAAAAGGAGTCTGGGCAGAAGGAATGGTGGATGCAAATGCATGGAGCAAGAATCAGAGAGCATGGGGTGCTTGGTTGGTTCTCTACCACTGGAATGTAGGGTACATGCTGTTCAGCCACAGTGGATGATGATGTTGGAGAGGCTGGCAGGGGCTGGGCTGAATGGGGTCTTGGAAGCCATTCTAAGGGGTTCAGAATTTAGAAAATTGCAGGAATCCTTGGAGTTGAGGGATTTTAAGTAGGGTAATGACATAGCTACTATGTATGTAGACTGAGGAGGGGGCCTCACCAAGGAGCATGCTCAGAGTCTCTTTGCTAAAGTTAGGGCTGATATTTTCCCTGGCTCCTGTGACTCATGGGCAGGAGTCCAGAGCTGGGGAGGGGTTTATCTCATACCTCCTTGCCACAATTCCCTAACAGCACCATGCCAGCTGGCACAAAGAAGGAAGTCAATAGCTGACAGAGCATGGAGCCAGTGCAAAGGTGCTGGCGCTGAACTTGCAGGTGACATCTGTGTCCTTGAGTCACACAGACAGGACCTCCCAGCTCATCAATGCTGAAGGCCTCTGAGGTCCTTTTACTCAGTTCTCCCATTCTGCAGTTGGGAAACTGAGGCCCAGCGAGGGGAGTGATTCACCAAGGACATGGGGCAGAAGAGGGACCAGAATGTAGGCGTCTGGCTCTCAGGTTGGTTTTCTCTCTACACATAGATGTGGATTCAAAGCTGAGCTCTGTTGCTTCCCTAGCTAAGCCACGTGAAGCAAGTTACTTAACTGAGCAGTTTGGTCTTCTGCAACCTGGAGATCACACTACCTCCTTTTCAGGGGGCTTGAGGGGGATAAATGAGGTAATGCATGTCATGAGTCTATAGCACAGTGCCTGGCAGGTAGTACGTGTTCAGTTAGTAGCAACTGAGTGCTGCAGTGCTCTAGGGTTCTGCTTGTGTTCTCAGCATGCTCCCCCACGCCCTCGCCCTGCTGGTTATAGTGCTGGGGTGGTGCAGAGGCTTCTACAACAGCGGAGCTGGCCAGGATGGGTATTTCTCAGGTTGTCCATGAAGGCAGGGGCATACCTTGGCATAACTGGATTGAGGATAAATGCCCATTAAAAAAACAATCTTTGCCCAATAGTGTGTTGTTATTATGGATCATAAATTTAAAAAGATATTGAAAGATGTGTTTGTGCCTCTGTGTGTATGCAATTACCAGGCAAAAGGACTTTCCCCTTATAAAGGGGTTCACGGCAGGCAGCATTCCTTCAAATCACTGGTTCCTCTTAGGAGCTCACTCAGGAATCAATTTCCTTAGCCTGATTCACACCAACTCATCAGGAAGGGACCTTCTGCTCCCCACAAACTTGTCACCCCTGGCCTTTTTGCAAGACTCCCTTGAGCTTTGAGTTGAACAGCCTAATCCTGGAATGGGAGCAGGGGAGCTCATTGACTGTGAGCTGCACCATGATTTTAGTGCCACCAAGAAAGAAAAGGCAGTGTCAATTGTCACTGGAAGATGCAACTGCGAAACAAATCCTGATTTCAGAAATATTCAAATGTGAAGAAATGCATCTTGGAATCAATGAAAATGCAGTGTTGAGGAAGAGAATCAGCTGGTCAGGACAGTCCCTCAGCAGGATGAGAGCACACCAAAGGGGCCAATCCCCAAATTACCCCTGGCTTCACATGATTTCCTCATTATTTTTTCTTTGTGAAAGAAACCATTAACATGTAGGCTGTATGAAGACAGATTTTGAATTTGTCTTAGACCCATCACCCTGCTCATAGTAGGTGTTCAACAAATATGTGCTGCATGAATAACTAAGACAAAACCACATTATAAAACATGAGATAGACCCAAGGAGAAGAAATCATTCACGGTTCCTCCACTGTGGGTATTTTGGCTTATTTCCTTCAAATCCTATGAATACACTCTTTTATATACAAGTAAACATAATGTATTATTAGATTTAGCTCTGGGATGTGTTTTTGTATTTCCCTATTAATATGAATGAATGATGAAATGAGATGATGCGGAAATGCTTTGAAGACTGTAAAATGTTTAACCAAATATCTTATTATTAGTTATAATAATCATAGCAATACTGATATGAATGAGGCTGAGTTTTGGAAAATATGCTTCAAGCAAACAATGAACTTGCCCCGGGAAGCTGGGGATGTGTTCTCTTCTGCATCCTGCTCGCCATGGGGAGTCCTGCTCTTTCATATTGGAAGAGAGAGACTTCAGTGTTCTTAGAAGTCCTCGGCACTGACTTCCCACCCAGCCTCCCGCCACTCAGTGCCCTTGCTCTGTGCCCCAGGAGCAAATAGCCTTCCACGATCTGGTTTAGGACTACTTCAGAAGCAGAGCCTGTCCAACTTTTATTCTAGGCAACCAGGAGATGAGAGAAAGAAAGTTTCTGCAGGTCTTTTCCCTAGTCCCCTCAATTGAGAATTTGGAAGGTCTCCCTTTTAAGATGTGAAATCCATGTCAGACAAGAGGCTGTGTCAGCCCTTCCTCTCCTCGCTGGCATTGCTGAGCAGCAGTGCTGGCCATTGGGAGGGGGTGTCCCTTCCCAGGTGTCAAATCAGAACAGTGTGCAGGAAACCCCCACAAGGGGTTCGCTCCACTTAATTTCTTATAGGAAAGTGATGCCCCATCATTTTTCCTTTTTGCTGGCCACTTACCAGGGAGCATACTTAGAGACTCTTTGCTAATTGCATTAACACAACCACTGAAACCTCAAACCCTGGTTAGCAGCTTCTCTTAGCATATATTGTTCCCTCCCTCCCCCCTGAAAAACTTTCCCCCTGAATTTCTGAAAAAATAAAACTGATACAGTGGAGAAGAAAATAAGCTGGGTTTCCTCACACCCAGTTTTAGGAGTTGACAGGTGACTCAGGAGAATTGGGCTACAGAGGTTAGCTGCTATTTTCCTCCAATTTCAGGGTGAATCCCTTTACTGAGCCAGCCCTGCACTGCCTCCTGGGTGGATCCAGAGCCTCCCTGAGTGAGAATCCCACTTCTCAAACCTGCAGGTGCAGGGCTAGTTCAAGGACCACCTATTCAGGAAGCCACAAAACTTACCCTCTGCTCCTGCGTGGCCACGAACGTCTGGAAGCCTGGAGCCACCCCAAAGCCCAGCTCTTGGATGAAAGGTGGCTCAGACTGGCTGTGGATCTGAACTTTCACTCCTGCTTCAAACGTGGTTTCCTCTGAAAGAACAAAGATGGACAGAGCCATGGGTCAGATACAACAGATGCTCTTGGGGTTCTGGGATTGAAAGCTCAAAGGGACACTAGATAGGCAGAATAATGCTCCTATATCCCTGGAAACTGTGAACATTTATGTTACGTGGCAAATGGGACACTGCAGGTGTAAGGAGGGCTCTCGAGCGAGAGAGATTGTTCTTGGTTTTCCAGGTAGTCCATTGTTACCACAGGGGTCTTACAAGAGGGAGGATGGAGGATCAGTCAGAGAGAGGATGGATGCTCTGCTGCTTTGAAGATGGAGGCAGGAGCCATTAGCCCAGGGATGTAGGCAGCTTCTAGAAGCTGGAAAACACAAGAGGATGGATTTTCCCCTAGAGCCTCCAGAAGGAATGCAGCCCTGCCAACACCTTGATTTTATTTATCCCCCTGAAACCCATTTTGACTTCAGCCCTCTAGAACTGCAACATAATATATTTGTGTTGTTTGAAGCGCTGCTTTTGTGGTAATCTCTCATAGCACCAAGTGGAGACTAATCAGGTCCATAAAATCAACTCCTTGCGTCAATCTCCAAAATGAAAGAATGGGATTATGACGTGAGTCAAGCACCTTTGTGTTATTTACTAACTTCTTCACTGGGCCATGAGGTGCATGTGAGGAGGGCTGGAGGAAAACACAATGACGCAGCAGCAGGAATAGAAATATAGGGCTTGCCCAGACGCCACGTATAATGCAGGGCCTGCCCCCTTGGACCTGCAGGGGCTTAGCAATGAGAAGCTTATTTTTATTCTTCAGCAGGACAAATGGCCCTTGATAGTGGAGAAGGCAAGTGTGGTAGAAGAGGCGGGGCTGCAGAGCTTAGCTCTTCCTTTATGTTGGCTCTCCAAATCGGTGGCTAATGCACCTATGGGGTATTTCCACCTTTTCTTTTTCCTCTCTTCTTTCCAGATAGCCTGCAGAAAGAACTTTTCAAAATGTAAACCTGCATAGTTCTTTCCTTCTTATATAGAAGAATCCAGACTCTTAAATCGTATCTGGTTCTAATCTTGCCCTGGGTATCCTCTGCTTCATGCTACCTGAGGGAAAAGCCTCTAGGGCTGCCCAGATTTCTTCCTTCTGGTCCCTGCTCTGCACAGATGCACATGCTTCTTCTGCTTGGAATGTCTTTCTGCTGGTCCATCTGACTCTAACCCCACTCATCACTGAAGAGTCAGGCCCCAGTCCCGCCCAAGGCAACTCCTTTTGCCCTTCACTTATGCCTGATGGAGCCTCCACCACAGCCTCCAGCCACAGGCTGGACTTTTCTTCTGCATCTTAAAGGTCCTGCAGAAGACCAGGCATACGGCAGACACTCAGGAAATGCTTGTTGAATGAACCAGGGAGAGATTTGTAACTCAGACCTCACTTACTCATTAATGGGCAAGGTCAGTCTAGAGTCCAAATCAAAGAATGTTCCAGAAGCAGAGACTGGGTAGATGTGGGCATGAGGGAAGATGGAGGAGGGGGAGAAATGGAAGTTGGCGGACAGGGAGAGAGGGATGTGTCAGCACTGGAGCCACAGTCTTGGGAGAGTTTGGGGACACACACTGATGCTGGCACAGAAGGAAAAGATGAGAAGGAAGCTGGCCCAGGCACTGGAATGGGCAGGGCCCATGGACAACCTGGGGCCAGTTACCAAGACCTGGGAAGCATCAGAGCTGGTGAGAATTTCAAGGTTGGGGGCACACGGAAAGGAAGGTTAGTAGGCATGTAGGGCCACAGGGGAGGAGAGTGGGACTTCCACTGCCGCAGACAGGGCAGCCGATGGATGAAGTTTTCTGCCATTAATGAAGACTCAGAGTCTGAATGAATTTGCAGCGGGGGGAGGCTGGGGAGAGGGCCATCGAGAGCAGCTCTGCCTTTCACGCTCCCAGCCCAAGCTTTTATTAAAGATATGAACAAAGGAACAAGAAAATAGCACGCAATTGTGTTTATGCTGATACAGATTAAAAAGTTACTGCTGAAAATAAGCTTTTCTAGTTTGCAGGGAACATGCGCACAAGCCAGGACATCCTCAGAGAACAGGAGTCAATTCTGGGAAGAAGTTCTGTTTGCAGAACTTCTAACATCCTGGAACTCTGCATGAAGAGTAAACAGGCATTGTCCAAAAACTCCAGCTCCCTTCAGGGCAGCAGGCTCCCAACATTCCATAGTCTAGAAAGAGTCTCGTGACTGACACAGGGTTTTGGCAGGAGAGCCATGGGCCAGGGGTCCTTTCATGTATGTCTTCCTGGAGTGGAAGAGTCCCCAGGCATGAACACACCCTCCTTCCCTCCACCAGAGGGATGTGGTGCAATCTCTTTTCCCTTATTTGCCCAGGGAGCTGTGGCCCTGTGTTGTGTGCCTGTGTTTGGGTCTCTCTCCCCTCGACAGTGACTGCCTTGAGGACGAGAATGCACTGATTCAGCCCAGCGCTCGTGGCCATGCCCAGGGCCTGGGCCAAGGTGGAGGTGGAAGGGGGGCCATGTGAGAGGGAGGACTGCACAGAAAGGAGAGGGTGGAGGGCTCAGCTTTCAGTGGCTGTTTTCTGAAGTTTGTCCAGGAGAGGCGAGGTCAAGGAGACGTGGAGGAGCCCCAAAGGAAGAACAGGCTGGGAGGTCGGGGTGGGGGGGTGGGAGATGCAGAGTGATGCTGGGATTACAGGGCCTGTGCCTGAATGAACCCAACAACGCCTGTTCAGTGAGCAGTGGGGGGTGAAATGGGAGAGATGTCAGAACTTGTTTTCCAGATCTAGTTGAAGCTGTGTGCCTGCCCTGTAACTGAGCGGAAGAAACCTGAGAGGCAGTAAGACAGGCTCGAAGGAGGGTCACGTGGCTTACAGGGAGAAATGAAAAATGAAGGCTTTCTGTTAGAAATACTGCAAAGCAGAGGCCAGGCCTGAGGCTGATCAGACAGGCTTAGGGTTCGGAAGTGTTCATTCCAGAAGCAGCCGTGGCTGGGGCAGAGTAAAAGCCTACAGTAATCTCGTATCTTTAGATGGACATGAGTGGAAGAAAGTGAGGGGCAAGGTTTCTGCTTCCTTTAGAACACCACTGTCCAGCAGGACTTCCTGCCACACGCTAACGTGCCCTGCCCCATGCTAACATGGCAGCCACGGATATCTGTGACTAATGTAACTGGGGATGTGAATTTTTAATTAATTAATTTATTTCCCCTAGTTTTATAGAGGAGTAATTGACAAATAAAGTGGAAAGATATTTAAAGCATGTAACATGATGATTTGATATACGTCTACATAGTGAGAGGGGCTCCCTGCTGAGTTAATTAACACATCCATCACCTCACAAATTTACTTTCTTTTTTGGCTTGTTTGCTTGGTGTATTTTTTTTTAATTAATTAAACTTAAATTTAAATAGCTGCATTGGACAGCATAGTTGTACAAAGTCAGCTGTGAGCAGATCCCAGTTCCGCAGAGCACGTGGGGTGGTGAAGACACCATACCTGGCTGTCCTATTTGGGGGACTCCTGTGGGTGTCTGGTATGCAGGCCCTGGCTGATCTGGATGGTTCTGAACAGCAGGACTGTGCGCATTCATTGTAGCCATGACTGTGGCCTCAGATCTTCCCTGGCACTGCATTTCCCACAGTAGCTCTTATTCCTGTATCTCCAGGTAGAGTCTGTGTCTCTTTTTCTATGGAACTGACCTGGGGTCCCCTCTGTGGATGATTCTCTGACTGACAGTGAGCAACAGCCTGCCTTTGGCCCTGGCCCCATGCCCACGCACAGTCTCCTCTGTCTCCTGGACAGGGCTGCTGTCAGGGCAATAGCAAGGCCCACTTTAGGGACTGAAGTTATCAAGTGCAGACTAGCAGAGCGCGAGGCTCAGACTACATAACGCCGAGGCTCCGACACCATGCGCATTGAAACCACACAGGATGCCTTGTGTGACCATGCCAGGTGTCCACCTTGGACATTCTGATTCAGTCCCTTTGGCGTAGAGCCCAAGAATCTGCATTTCCAGGGATTCTGTTATAGGTTCTCTGAGGTCAAGCAACAATCTAATCCAGAGATGGAAGTGACTTGCCCAAGGTCACAGAACAAGTGAAGAGCACAGCAGGGACTAAACACCAGTTTCCTGAGTTCCAAATCGCTCTCCTTCTCCACTAGGGTGTGGTTCATTTCCTGTGAGCAGATACTTGGTTCACAGCTCTGATTGGGGGCTGGAGAAGGGGACACTCTTTCGTTGTCATATCCAGGAAAGCCCGCAGCACAGCACCTGGAAGAGAATGGAGCTCCTCATATGAGTGAGGAGGCGTCCTTGAGGAGCCTGTCCTCTGCTGCTCTTTGGCTGGTGTGAGTCTGCCCAGGTTCTGGCTGGACACTGGGAAACAACAGCAGCTTCTCCGCATAGCAACAGCCTCCCCGCTAGTGGCAGGCCTTGGGTCTCATCTGCTGAGAGGCAGGTGGACTGCACATAAAACAGCAGCAACAGTAACAATAAGTGGGACCACCCACCCAAATTTTTGGGTCCAACAGCCATAGCAGAGTCTTAAGCCAAGAGTTGTCCCCTCTGAAAATGGAGTCCTGTGTGACAACACAGATGGGTGTTGGACAGCATTATTCATATCCTGATCTCCATCTCTCCACGAAATGTTGATAATTCAACAGAGTTGCTTCAAAGAGAGCAGACCCTAGTACAGTGAATGATTTGTTTACACATCATGAGTGCCAGGATTCAAAGCTCCAGAGAATTGGAGAAAGCGCAGGGAAAGGGGAAGTTACTACACATGGTGTCAGGTGTCCGTGTTAACTGGGAAGCCAAAACCCAGACCGTTTCATGCCAAAGGAGAGGGTGGATCAGGAGGAGGTGGGGAAGCAGGTCCAGCCTGAGGAAGCTGGGTCCTCCTGGCACTGTTCAGGAGCATGGCCACGGCTGACACAAAGTGGGGTCTACCTGTGGAGCGATTTCTGCGTGTGCAGAAAAGATTTGGGAGCTCTGCGGGAGGAGATGGGAGCGATGGGCAGA